CATTTACACACATAAAGAATACTTTTACACACGTGTAAAGAATACATTTACACACGTGTAAAGGATACATTTACACACATAAAGAATACTTTTACACACGTGTAAAGGATACATTTACACACATGTAAAGGATACATTTACACACATGTAAAGGATGCATTTACACACATGTAAAGGATGCATTTACACACATGTAAAGGATGCATTTACACACGTTGGAAAGATACATTTACACACATAAGAAGGACACAATTAGAGCATTCATTTAAAATGTCTGAACATCTTTCCTGACTCACAGATCTTGACTAATTTGTGGCTAAATTAGAAGTTTAATGGTTRTTAAAGAGAGAGATGAAGTGGAAGAGCAGGTGCTCCWTGGTGCTGCTCAATCTGACCGTGTTAGTGATCCATATTTATGTTTCCCTGCAGAACTACAAGGACACCCTGCAGAGCCAGGTTCTGAAGTCTGCCGGGAGGCAGCAGAACCCGGTGAAGTTTGGAGCGGACCTGTCAGAGGAGGACCTCAAACACTTTCAGGATGAACAGATCGGACAGCTGTATGAACTCATGCTGGAATCCACCAAAGCCAACAAACAGTTTGACATCCAGGACGACAACAATTAAAGATGTGCTCAGACCAAAGAGAAACAGGAAATACAACTAATTCAGATTACTAATATATTATGTGACTGCCTGATACGAGAAAAGCTGTTTAAAMTCTAAGAGAGGCTTTTAGGCCCATTTAAAAATGTTAAAGTGCTGTGTAACAGTTCTGTTCCTTAGTTCATCTCATTTACTGCCAAAATAAAAAGGTTCGTCCCGATCCTCCACAGGTGCATTAGGAGAGCACTAACTGATTCATCTGTCAACTTTTCTTTTCCTTTTGTTTGTGTCAGCTTGGCAGAAAATCCCAAAGTTCCCATCAGCTAATCCTTCAGTGAGACCCGGCAGCATCCATCTGTTTTATGATACAGAAAGGTTCCCTCAGAGTCCAGTTCTCCAGAGACTCATCAGTCCTGTTCATCTGAAGTTTAACTCCTGATGATGTCTCCTGAAAAAACATTTATTGTCCTCTGATATTTATTTTCCTTCCATCACTGACAATCACTGACAGCTGATTTATTTGGATCTCATGTGAATCAGGATTATTTCTTGTTCAAGTTCTTAGTTAATGTATTTTTGTAGCTTTTACAGGTGGCATGTCTCTGATGTGCACTGTTCGTTTACTCAAATCAACAACAACAACAGACAGAACTGAGTCATTGAGTGCATTTTTATTTTGAGTCGTCCCATTTTCTACGTATAAAAATGATTGGTCTTTTAATTAAGGTGATTGTTGATTCAAGATTCTTCCCTAATATATGTCACTGGAATTCTCAAACAATAAAATCCTTTAAATTAGTTTGGTGGTTTGAGAAACTGTGCAGATATTTTATTACCTCCACCAAGGGCGAGGTAATCAGTTGCGTATGTCTGTTTGTCGTTCTGTCTGTGGACAACATTACTCAAAAACTTGTGGACGGATTGTCATGACGTTTTTACCACATGTGGGTACTGGGCCAAGGAACACACCTTTAAAGTGTATCTTACCCCCCTGTGAAAAGATAACTCTGCCCCAAGGCGAAATTTGAAAAATGCATCAAAGTGGGT